TTTTTTTTGAACTACGCTATGTTCTTCTCTCAAATCTTTCATCATCTTTCAAATTCTTTCAAATTCACCTTCACTACCTACCTACCACTACTGAAAAGGGAGGCGCAGCTACTGGCAGAATGCTCGGTCTTTGCGTTAGCCGGACCCCCACCGGCAGCCCCACCCCATCCTAGACCACCATGGTTGGGGTGGGGGGCAACATGCATCCCCTCTGATGGCTGGAGGGAGACAACAAAGCTATGATTGCCTAAGGTCTTTCCTTGAGTGTAAAAAGTTTGTCCAAACAAAAAATAAAAAAGTATATCCATCATAACTGTAGTCAGCGCAACTTTTTTTGGGGGGGGAACTATGGGGTCTTCACAAAAATCAGTTATAATTGCAGTATGGGCCAAGATACAGTTTCGAATTGCAGTTTGGGCAATGTATATAATCCAGCTTTCTGTCCACGTAGGGTGCCCAAAGTGCAATTGCAAACTGTATCTTGCCCCATAGCGCAATTATAAGTTATAACTCTTTTTTGTGACTCTACTGAAGTTACCCCTTCTTTTTGTGGGGGGGTGGGGTGGTGGTGGGGAGGTCAACTTCAGCCCAGATACAGCCACTGATTTTCCTTTATGTTCTTGGAAAAGAAGAAACTCAGGGGACCCCTGCAAACATAGGGATGCATGTTGCCCCCTGCCCTAATCGGCCGTGGTCAGGGAGTATGGTGGGCTTGCCGATGGGGGGGCCAGCTAACACAAAGACCGAGCATTTTTTTTTTTTCCCTTTTTTTTTTATTGCTTATTTTCGCATTTTGCCAGTAGCTGCACCTGGGGCCTCGACCGACTAGCCAAGCGTTACATCTGGAGGCTGGGCTTTCGATCACCGTGTGGCCCGGGGTGACGCAAAACAGCCGCCGATTGCCCTCCACATCAACTGTGATGATGTTTACGAGTCGGGGGAGCGTTTTTTCCCGGCTGATGGCCAATAGGAAGTATGTTTTTTTTTTTTTGGTGTTTTTGTTGGCCACTTTCCGTTGGCGTGAAGCTTCAATAACAACAACTTTTGACCCATGGGGTGATATCCAAGCTTCGCGCCAACGGATTTTCGCTTGGAAAGTCTGAAAAAAATGACAAATGGAAGTAATAACGGCGTCGTTTTTGTGCAGTGCCCACAAATAAGGGCAAGAAATGTGGTGTCAGTGCATTCCTTTCAATCGGATGCACAAACCCTAATACGCGTCTAAATTTCGAAAACATGGTCGTACGTTGCCTACAAAAGTGTCTAGGTGCAGAAACAGACATGAGTACCTCTTGGCCGACCCACGTCCGTACTTTCCCGATCGGGAAAGTTGGCATGTGGAAACGCATTGGATTCCCCATAAACGAAGAAGGCCTCCGCCACGCCATCACGGAACTCCATCCAACGGTGAGCCTCGCCACACTGAAGCTACGAGCAGGCACCCCATCGTATGTCCTTACGGCCGGTATAGACGTCCCTGTAGTTCGTCCTTCTTCTTCCGTTTGCGCATCATTTTTTATTTTTTTTTGGTACCCTTGCGGCATCCCTCTATCCCGGCAGTGGTACGAGAACTGCCAGGATTGAGGGCTTGTCCATTGGGCTGCTCCATCTATTGGTGGGGAGCGGCACCTGCTGGAAACCGGGTCCAGCGTCCCGTCGATACATCACATGCTGGAAACCGGGTCCAGCGTCCCGTTGATACATTACATGACACGTCGCTTGAGACGGTTTTTTCCTGGGGTTGTGGTTACTTATCTTGACTGTCCTGGGCTCCATTATCCCGTGGAGCTGCTAGTGATGCCCATTCCTTTCTGGAGCAACCCTTGTCTATTAACCCAACCCCATTCTGCAGCCCCCCGATGATGGTTGTTCCTTCACCTAATTTTTTAAGCTGGCTTCTAAACCTTTCTATCCTTTTAAACCCTTCCCCTTCAGTACTCCGCTGCTTAGCCCTTTAAGCCCTTTTAAATCCTTTTAAAACCCTTTACCGAGTCTTCTGACTTCTGTAACACCTTCTCTATCCTTGAGCCCGACAGATCAGAAAATATAGGAGGAGGTCTGACATGAGACAACCTATATTTACGTTACAATGCAGTTAACTAAGGATGAAAGCCCATCCCCTTTGGACCTCCACTGCTTAAACCATTTGGGCCGTTTTAAAACCCTTTTACCCAGTCCCCTCCTGATATATCTGAAACTATAGAGGGAGGTCTGACATGAGGCAAACCAACATTTGCGTTACAATGCAGTTAACTAAGGGTGAAGAGATTCAGAGAGGATTAAGCGTCTACAACTGCATGAGTAGGGTATTCTCAGATCGTATGAAGGTCCCATGCTGCCGGTCCCATGTGTTTCTCCTGGCCCCTGTACCTGGAGACACATCATGTGTCCGGTGCTCTTCCTCCTTCCTTGTACCCAGAAACACGAAAATGGCCTTGATTGAAGTGGACGTCGCCTGGCTCCCTCTGAGTTGAGCTTGCTGTTTCTTTCTTAGCTGTCGATTACCGAGGTGCTGAAGCTGGAAGATCCGGGTGGCCGGTGGCCCGGCGAGGAACAGGGCGGTGTAGAGGCGGGGTGAAGTGGATAGGTGGTGACAGGTGTGGGTGCAGGCCACGGTGGCAGCGGTGGGGGAGGGAAAGGCGGGCCAGAGGACTGGGAGTCCACGGGGGAAGTGGAGGGCGGGGGAGGCGTAGGGGGTGGGGAGACCATGGGAATCGGAGTGGGACACGGTGGGGTCGAGGGAGGGCGAGCGAAGGGGAGAGGGGGGGGCGGCGATGGGGTTGACGGGGGGGGGCTGGATGGCCGGGGGGGGGGGTGTGATCTGGGAGAGCCCAGCCTGTGCATGCTGATGCTGCTGACCTTGGGCCTGGTGCACCTCGGTTATTAGATTTTTGAGCTGTCCCGGGGGTGGTGTTGGGAAGAACTCGGGCGGTCTGTATGTCCATAAGTGGTCCTGTACTGCCCAGTTCTTCCATGTCAGCCTTCCGTCGCTTTGTACTTCAGCTAGTTTGTGGTTCGGGTCTATCCACTTTTCTGTGAAGGCCGCAGTCAGCTTTTCCTTGCTGTCTTGGTCGGGGGCTGCACTCAGTTTTTGAATTAAGTCTTTGCTGGCTTTCAACACATTTGCCCTAATCACCTCTAGCAGCTCTGATTTGGCTTGGCGAAAACCAAAGGCCTCTTCTTGGCGTTCTGCTGAGCACCTCATCCTCGAGATGACCATGAGAATGACCAGTCTCATGTGCTGGAAAAAGTTTCGTTGGAAGGGCGTCCAGGAGGGAGGAGAGCTGCTTTTTTTCCCCAGAAGGATAAGGGCAACATTCCATTGAAAGGGGGAGTTTGTGAGCTCGTGCCACATGGCGTCCCACCATTGCCAAACCTGCATTGCCATGCGGCAAGCCAACAGGCAGTGTTCCAGGTCAGCTCGTCTGCGCTGCGCACCTTCTCCGGAACGGGAACATATTGGAGATAGAACTCCTATTTGTTCTAAGTTAGTGCGTGAGGTGATCCTCTTCGGTGTCGGGAGGCAGCGATGTAAGATCTGCCACTGCAGCGCCCTGTGTGAAGTTGGCATTATATGAGCGTATGTGGTCCAGGGGATGTGATGTAGCTCCCCGTGTTGTATCGGTGAATCTCTTGTCCACCGGGTTTGGATTACGGAAGTGGAGGCCTGTGGTTTGTGGGTCGCGTACCGAGTATTGCCAAATTGGTGTGGGTTTCCAGCCTTTCCAGACCCATTCGTTCGGGTCGAACGCGAGTGCTTCCACTGGGGTAGACATTTCATAGGCAAAGTAGCCTGTGTTGTCGCCCCCCACCACCCTCACCCTGGTCAAATCTTCCATTGGGAGGCACCTGTCCAGTTTCGGGTCCCTTTTCAGGGGGGGCCAACGTGCCCCCGGGACTTCTGGTTCATATGCCTGCAGATGTGCCTGTTGCCCTGTGCACTGAGCCACCCTAAAGATGGTCATAGGGATAGGGTCGTGGGTGATCTGTGTTACCCAGTCCAGACTACCTATCGTGGGACCTTCTTGTAGGGCAGCGACCCACGAAGGCGAGACTACCATGTGGATGAGGTTCAGCTTATCCTGATTTTTTCTTACGTATTTCAGGTTTGGCTGTTTTTGTTGTCGACCTTCAGCACTGTTCCAGTCCGTTTCGCTCTACGCTTTGCCTTCGTGAAGGTTCAAGACGACACCTTTCGTCACCATGGCCCGCTACAACGAAAACGAAGGCCTTTCTGGTATAGACGACTGAGGGTACTCTGAGTCCCAGAACGTCGAACCATGCTGTTCTGGTGGTGGGCCGTCGACACAGGTCCCGACACCCCCCATCATTGGGGCGCAGCATGTCCCAGCGGTTGGTGGCGGTGGGTGGCAGTCCCCGTACCAAGTCGAGGACACTGAGGGGACACAGGTCCCCTCTTCGACGGGAGGTCTCCACCGACCACATGGCAGTTCCGCCTTCGTGAGGCATGGGCAAGGTGTGGGGGGAGGAGGGTTCGCAGGACAACCTTTGCACCAGGCCATGAATAATGTCACTGGTGAACCTCGTCCCAATGTTGTCACGGACGGTCCAGGTCTGTCATCACCAGTCACGCCAGTGCACAAGTTGAGAATCGGGGCGGGGGGTGAGGATGAGCAGATTCTCAAGCACCGTCTGAGGATGCATGCAATGGCTATTCCCGACATCGTCGAAGGGGCCGTCGGAGGGTGTGAGTCCCCTGGTCCGCGTACTCGGGAGAGGGGAGATGGTGGTCCCAGTCCGTCTGGGGGCGTTTCTAGAGTGAGTGATGCGGTGCACTCCCAAGAACGAAGTGCTCCCTCTCATATGTCACCAGTTGGGCAGGAGAGTCATGGTCATTCTCAAATTACGACCCCGGCCGGTGGCAGGACGCAGCAAGGATCCGAAGTAGGAGCACCACACTCCCCGTATGTCCTTAACCAGATCATCTTGGAAAACGAGCTTGGTGTCCACCCTGTGGATCATGTTCCTTACCATGCAGATGGAAGTGATGCCGGTGGTGTGCACACTTTGCCCCAACACAAGCCTCCACGGTGTGGATCTTTTGGCACAGCAGGTATTGGCACACCATCCCCCGCCACCGGGAGGTCTAGGTCACGGCAGGTGCCATCCACAGCTGATGCGGGGGCTCCAACACCCACAGGTGTGTCTGCGCGATCTGGTTCGCCCTCACCAAACAACGACCCATGGGGGGAAACAGAAACCGAGTGGCTTTGTCGGTTCCGGAACGAGGTGAAGGACATGATGGGTAACGAGACCGAAACGTATGGGCGCGCCAGACTGAAAGAAGGATTCTGGAAGATCGTCGAGCAGCGAATGCGAGACAAGGGATACAACCGCAAAGACGACGAATGCAAAAACAAGTTTAATCAGATCCTCGACTTCTATAGGAGACTTAAGGCAAACGAGAGATGGTCCGGTTATCCGAGCTATTGGGATATGAACAGCGCAAGGCGGAAGCGGTACAATGTCGACTTCGTGCTTCGGCGTAGTTGGTACGACATTATCGACCCGGCTGAGAAGGACAAGGACTCCATCAACCTGACGAACTTGCTGGATTCAGGCGCAGACGAGGAAAGGGTTGAAGATAACGAAGAGGCGCGCGACGCGGATGGGGGGGAAGATGGTGGGGGTGAGGACACAGTCCCAGGTGCGGGAGGGTCCACTGGCGGGTTGCAAGGTATTGGTTTCGAGCCCACACTTGGCAAACGCAAAAGATCTTCTGTGAATGTGCGTGAAGCAAGTGTGTAGTCTGTGACAGGTGCTATGCGTGCTCACACGGCAGCACTGACGCGTTCTGACAGGGAATGCGCGAAGCTGCGGGGTGAGGTGACACGTGAAATCGCTGCGAAACAGGTGGAGGTTCATCGGGAACTGATGTTGGCAGACATCGCATCTCGGGAGGATTGCAAACATGCAGGGGGATAAGGTGGAGAAGGGTTACTCTATTTTTGTTGATGCCATTTGCAGTTTGCGGGGGAGGAGGGGAAGCAGGCGGGGATTATCGGATAGCGGTGATTCCCGATAACGTTGTCGACGGTAGCAATGACCAACTGTGACAGTTGCGGGTCCGGTTTAGTTTCGGGTTTTCGACGCAGTTTTCGACGTGGAACAAACTATTTCTGTAGACGTGGGAAAAAAATTCCGTAGTCTTTTGGGGATGTTTAAATTAACATTTTGTTAAACGTTGAAGTGGTTTATGTATGTCCAGGTTGCAATTTTGTGACAGCAAGAAAGTCGTCAACTTTGCATGTACATCTGCTCTCTCTCTCTCTCTCTCTCTCTCTCTCTCTCTCTCTCTCTCTCTCTCTCTCTCTCTCTCTCTCTCTCTCTCTCTCTCTCTCTCTCCGTTGTGT